CACTAGCGTGATACAACTTAGTACATGTTTGATTGCTTTTGGAGATGAGCCTATTTTGGATTTGTAGCCCACCCCCCTGGAGAAAAATCCACCAGCCACCACTGGATCCAAGTAGGCGACATGATGTGAAAAAAAAAGGGGGGGGGGGCAGTCCTGCAGCTCAGTAATGATAAACTAATGACATTAGCGTGTGACCGAGCCGCTGCTCAAACAACAACAAACATACATGGCTGCCGTCTACCGGTGTTCTAAAAAAGTTTGTATCCCTGAAAAAAAGTTTCCCCACCAGACGGGGTGCTCGCGAGTAGGAAGTAATCTGCTTGTATCTGCTTGAAGATGGCCGAAATCTCATGTGAAGTCTCTGACTTTTGTGTTGGCGCATCCAGGTGGACTATGTGTAAAATGCCAGAATTCTTATGATGCTCAAAATCATAGTTTGCTGATATATATTTGTTGGGGTGGGTCATATTATACATGAGATCGTATTATACACAAATAAATACAGTAGTTCAAGCCTTTTGTTGGTTTAATATTGATGATTTTGGGAAAAAAAGTAAAGAAAAATCAAAAATCCCTATCTCAAAAAATTAGCATATCATAAAAAGGTTCTCTAAACAACTTATTAACCTAATCATCTGAATCAACGAATTAACTTTAAACACCTGCAAAAGATTCCRGAGGCTTTTAAAAACTCCCAGCCTGGTTCATTACTCAAAACCGCAATCATGGGTAAGACTGCTGACCTGACTGCTGTCCAGAAGGCCATCATTGACACCCTCAAGCAAGAGGGTAAGACACAGAAAGACATATCTGAACGAATAAGCTTTTCCCAGAGTGCTGTATTAAAGGGTCATTATTATGCATTTCTCAGACATATATTTAAATACTTAGATATGACATAGATATAAAGTATCTATGTCACCTTTAGCTGTTATTAAAATGGTTTTTATGTTTAAATAGAAAATAAACTTATCTTCCCATCACTTTGCCTTCTAAACCCCTTGAAATTGGCCTGTCTCTTTCAGAACCTCCTTCTGCTCCTGTCCCATCCAGTTCGGTGGGGGGATTCGCACATGGGGGGGCTCGTGCGCACGGGTGGGGGGGTGCGTGTGTGCTATGATGCAGTTTACTTGGCCTCTGAAAAAAAAACATTTCCTCAAAGGTATTTTTAATCTGAAAAGAGCTTCACTGAGTGAGAACTAATGTCGAGAGCTCAGCAGACAGTTAAGTTTCACTTTCAGTTTCACTCGAGAGCCTGCAGGAGTCATGGGCGGGGTGTGTGGGGAGGGGGGAGGGGGTGCGCTCTGCCATGAGGAAGTTTGGCTTAAAGACACGTCCCAGGGGCGTTTCTGGCCCCCAAAGGCGTTTCTAGTCCCCACCTCTCATTTTGCTCCTCAGTCTGGAGTACAAACTTCCAGAGACACCATACACAGGCGTGTGCAGGAAATGGGCTACAGGTGCCGCATTCCCCAGGTCAAGCCACTTTTGAAGATGAAACAGCGGCAGAAGCGCCTGACCTGGGCTACAGAGAAGCAGCACTGGACTGCTGCTCAGTGGTCCAAAGTACTTTTTTGGATGAAAGCAAATTTTGTCTCCAAGTCTCCAAGAGACTTCTTCAGTCTGAGAGTTTCAGGCAAAATTCAGGCTTTTAAGCCCAGCCTCTGTTTGACCGATACTCACATCACATGGCTATCGTTGACACCTAATTAACACTTATCGTTAACAGGGGTGGAGTGATACTGGCAATGGCCGCTCTGTAGGAGGGGGACAGCTGAAAACGGAGGCCTCCACCTCTGTTTAATGATGGACGGTCTTTCTTCAAAAAATAGCTTCTTTTACTCCTCTCTCAAACCAACGTTCCTCTCTATCAAGAATGAGAACATCCTCATCTCTGAAAGAGCGACCGCTGGCCTATAAATGAGTGAAAACTGCAGAGTTCTGGCCATTAGACGTAGCTCGTCTGTGTTGGGACATTCTTTTGAACAGTAGCTGCTTTGTTTCCCCGATGTATAAATGGTCGCAGTCCTCCTGGCACTTAACAGCATATACAACATTGCTCTGTTTGTGCCAGGGCACCGGATCTTTGGTGTGAACCAGCCTTTGCCGTATTGTGTTTTGCTTAAGAGTTCACCACCACCTAATTTCCCTCTGGGATCAATAAAGTATTTTTGAATTGAATTTGAATTGAATCGAAGGCCGCTACTGAAGCATCCTGGGCCTCCWTAACACCTCAGCAGTGCCACAGGCACTGATTGCCTCCATGCCACGCCACATTGAAGCAGTCATTTCTGCAAAAGGATTCCCGACCAAGTATCGAGTGCATGACTGAACAAAATTATTTGAAGGTTGACTTTTTTGCATTAAGAATACTTTTCTTTTATTAGTCGGATGAAACATGCAAATTTTTTGAGATAGGGATTTTTGATTTTTCTTTACTTTCTTGCCAAAATCATCAATATTAAAACAATAAAAGGCTTGAAGTACTTCAGTTGGTGTGCAATGAATCTAAAATATKTGAAAGTTTAATGTTTATCAGTACATTACAGAAAAGAATGAACTTTATCACAATATGCTAATTTTTTAGAAGGACCTATACCTTTCTTTTTTCAGCTTTTTAAGTATCTGACAGTATCTGATATCTGACAAAATAAAAAAGAAGGTTTTAATGTGAAATATGCTATAGTGTGTGGTTTACCTATTATCAGAATTTTAGCTATGCAAGTTTTGGTTACTGATTAAATGTTTTCTTAACATTAGCATCAACTGTGCTTTGTGTTAAACATTTTGCAAGTCTGGTGCAAACACATTAATTGTAGATGGAACAAAAAGTAAACATTTTAGCTATAGATCAGAAAGCAGGACCACAGGGTGCATTAAGCCTTTCTGCAATTAATATTGGCCAAAAACACAGCCTCTTATATCCTACTGGCTGTAAAATGAATGAATGAATGAATGAATGAATGAATGAATGAATGAATGAATGAATGAATGAATGAATGAAAAGCACTCAAACATTTCTTATTTTAAGAATGAATTATATATTATTATATATTCAAATATATTATATGAATTTAAGAATTTGTTATTACGGTAGTAGGGTATAAGAATGAGCCCCTGTCTTGGCTCAGGAAGCTCTTTCTAAAGGCCACATTCTGGCCTATCCAGAGTATTTCCTGCTGCAAACTTGCAAGAAATCGATGTAATTTGAGGTAAATGCATAGGCATATTAGGGAAACAAGCATACACGTGAGGCCATGCGTGACAAATTACTGCGTTAACAATTTAATACAAATTAAATCAGAGAATGTTGTCCGAGGTGTTGAGGGGATCCGTTTTGGTGGCCTTAGGATCGCATCTCTGCTTTTTGCGGATGATGTGGTCCTGTTGGCTTCATCGGAACG